CTGGTTGGGGCCGGAGCCCGCCCGGGTTCTCTCGTTAATTTGAACATAGCTAATTTCTAGAGCTGGGGGGGGGAGGTGTCTGGGTTTTTCCGGGTTTGCGTAGGTTTTTCTTGAATGCTCGCGAGGTTATTAGTGCTCTGCTGCCCGTGCTGTCAGCAGCAGTCTCGGCACCCCCAAATTAAGGGTGTTAAAAAACCACTCTGACCTGCTCCTGTCTCCCACCCCCCTCAAGCGATCCAGCTGTGTTAAACTCCGAGTCTGCTCATGGATGTCACAAAAGCAGCTGTTTCAGAACAGTAATTTTATCATTACCCTTGTAGAAATATTGCACAATAAGGGCCTCCAGTCGGGGAGGTTGCTCTGGCATACCTGTAGTGGTGAGTGTCCTACCATAACAAAGCCAAACATGAGAAGTTGGCAAAGCCTCGTCTTTGCTAGGACCTCCAAAGGGTAAAATGACATGAAATGTCTGTAGCGTTGATGCCCCTTAAGAGGCCCAGTGTGATGGAAGCTTCAGCTGTGTTATTTGTGTGTGTGTTTTTTTCCATTGTTCTGGAATGTTTGTTCTCATCCTGAAAAGCTCCTGTGGTGTTCCTTTCCAGATTGCGCTTGCCAGTTTCTATGAGGACGGGGGTGATGAGGACATTCTGACTCTTCCCCAGCCAACACCCAGCTCTATATCCAGAGGCACTGCAGCCAGGTGAGGAGGGAGCTTCAGCTCAAGCCGATCTGTTTATCGGCAGCTTGTAAACCTGATAGTGAAGACTATTTATTGTAAAAATGCAAGCTCTATCTAAAGCATTGATGTATGTTAATTTTCAGGAGAAATAGCTCTGCGTTTCGATCTGTTTCACCTCGTATGGCTCTCTAGAAATTGTGAAAACATCAGCATTTATACATCACAAGCACAGATGTTTTTTCCAAAGATCAGTTAGAACAGCTTGCCCTGTCGCTCAGGAAGAACTTGATTTGTCTTTTGAAGTTAGAAGACAATCGGTTGGTGACACTTTCAGTTGAGCAGATTGTATCTCCACAGGAAAAGTGCTTTCTAATTTTGTGTGACGACTGATCTGGTCGAATGTTTTACAAGAAGTAGTTAAATTTCGCCTTACCAAATCCCTGTGCGGCAGGGAAATACTGTCCAGTTTCAAAGAGGACTTACTGATTATATCTTGAAAGAAAAGTGCTCTTGGTTCAGGCTTTGGTGAATAAAGTCCATGTTGCAGAAGAACCCTGTTTCAGTTTGGATCACAGCTAACAGCCTTGGCAGAAACAAGAGGAAAAGGACGTGGAGGCTGGACTGTGCTGGGGCCTGGAAGAGAAACCTGGGCTTGTGCAGGTTCGGAAGTGGCGGTACTTGGAAACAGGCAACAGAATCTTCTGGTACGCAAGGAAGGCGACCGAAGACTCGTGGCTTCTGCTGTGTCTGCAGCCGCCGTCTGAGCCGCCTCCAATGCACCCGCTCCTGTTTTCTGTTGGTGTAGTTGGCAGAGAGGGCCAGGAGCTCGGTTCACCATTCGGTTACACCAGTGCTGTCCTGTCATTTCATAGAGTAATGAATCAGATCCTAAAAGTAGAACAGGGTCACCCTAACTGCTGTGTTCAGGAGCTTTTGTTTATGTGGCTGAAATGTGTCATGAGGCTGACATACTTCTCTGATTGATTTTTGCAGTGACCATAGAGTAACATCGTTTAGAGACCTTGTTCATGCGCAGGAGGATGATGATGAAGAGGAGGAGGGACAGCGGTAAGTTTTGAAAGACTTAAAACCTGTGTGTGTATCCCTGCCCTTTTGTGATGGCTTACCACTTGTGTACAGGGTTTTTTTAAAAAGCAGACTTAAGTCGATATGAAATTCCTGTAGTGAAAAATCTCAGGTTTGGCGCAGAAAGGTTGGTCAGTGCAAAGTCTGTGCACGAGCACATGCTCAGCGTTGCTGTATAAACACCAGTTTTCATCACTGAATTGTGCTGTTGAGTGAAAGCCTGAGGTAGGATGTGGAAGCCCTCGGCTAAGAATAGAAGAAAGACCAGACCGTCATTTGTGTCTGTAGAGAACGGAAATGTGGGATTGGTTTGCTTTCTGCTTGGGGTTTGGGGTTGGTTGGGTTTTTTTTGGTCAGGGTTTTTCATTTTTAAGTGCTGCCTAAGGGTAATGTAATGGAGTGTGGAGGTGGAAAGAAAAATGTAGGTCCCCTTTCCAATGGGAGCATGGCATACTAGTGGGAAAGTAATCTATGATGTCAGCTGTAAGTAGTTAAATACCCTTAAGGTTAATGGGCAAGGTAAATTGAATGGAACTGATGTATCTTAAGGTGGCTCAGTCTAGGTAGGCTGTGTGGTCTGCTGCAAACAGATGTGAGCTTGCTCTGTATGTGTTACAAGCCAGCTGGAAGCTAACGAACCCAGTCTTCCAGAAGTGCTTAATTGCGCTTCACTGACTGTGCATTCATTGCTTCCAGTTCAGCTCCGTCCTGCGTGAGGTGATCTTTCAGTGTGGCCTGAACGCGTGCCTTCCCTCAAAATACCAGTTAGATGTTGCCCACCTCCTTCCGTCTGACAGGCCAGAGACTTGCTGGCAGTCTGGTTGAGCTTGGTGAGACAGCTGGTACTAGCATTTGAAACTGAGCCTTGTCAGTCTAGGCTGTTTCTCTTGCTAGGTACGAGAGAGTTTTTATCACTTTGTTGCTGTTGATCAATGGATAATTTTACAGTAACTGACATAAAAAGAAAGTCTCTGCAGTACAGGAACTTGTAAGTGGCTACAGTAGGAGATCCACTGGTATTAGCTAATATTTGTAGATCCAAGCTGTACAAAAATAAACTGAATCCTGATATAAAACTGCTGGGTCCTGTCACATGCATCTTCTGGAGAAGCAGCGGTCCAGTCTTACCCAGAGGCCGTGTGCTTTCTGTTAGGTTTTATGCCGGCGGCTCAGAGAGAAGTGGACAGCAGATCGTTGGTCCTCCGAGGAAGAAGAGTCCCAATGAGCTGGTGGAGGATCTGTTCAAAGGAGCAAAGGAGCACGGTGCAGTGGCGGTTGATCGGACGGCCAAGAGCGGTGGCGAGACTAGCAAGCCTAAAGTGAGGAGTGATGAGTTCTTCTTCCTTCTCTTCCCCGTTTCAGTTAAGGCTCCCACTGTGACAGCTCTTTGGTACTGTGGAGTCCTAGAATTATCTTAAAAGGACGGCTAAGTCTGGACTTCTCTCCTAGTGCAGCTCCAGTTCCTGTGTCACAGTGGCAAGAAAAGCCATTTTCTTGTGCCATATTTATTAACTTGTTCAAGCTGGTCACTGTGCCTGCAGGACAACAGATCTTGCTGATGCCACGAAGCCCCCCTCTTCGTCCATAATGGTGTTGGGGAAGGGGAAGCGAGCTGTCTGGGGTTTGTGTCACTCTGTAACTTCTTTGGCCACCCTTCTCTCTTGCAGCCTTTCGCAGGGGGAGGGTATCGCCTTGGGGCTACTCCAGAGGAGGAGTCTGCTTATGTGGCAGGAGAGAGGAGACAGAACTCTGCTCAGGATGTGAGTATCTCTCTGTTCTGTTTTGTAGATGTCACCCGAGGGATTTCTCTGCTATAGCTACACAGCTTGCGAGCCCAGAGAGTTATAAAGCTTGATAGAAATTCAAGAGGACAGAAGTATGGTAAATCCTGCTTCTCGTGGGATTTCTGATTAGAAAATAGTAGATGCTTTGGTCTTGGGTAAGCGGTTTTCTGATGAACTTTTAATTAAGAATCTGAGCGTTAGAAGGGCAGATTGTGAAAAATAGTATACAAAGAGCACTGGGCGATTAACTCTTCTTTATCCATTGAAGAGATGTGGAGGTGACAGCATCAATGCAAGATTCTCTCGTGCTTGGTTTGTGACCAAATACACATCTAGGCCATGGTGGGAGCTTGGTTTAGGCTCCTCGTCTAGCACACTCCTGGCTCTTCAGCCATAATTATCAAAAAGGGGTCTGTGGTGCCACCTTCTAGGTATTGATGTATGGCCATTACATAGCCAGTGCTTTGGGCTTTTCCCTCAGCCCAGCAGAAGCTGGCTGGAATGTTTTCTGCACCTTGAAATTCCTCTACCAGTCAGGAACTTTTCACTTTGCGTCTGGTTATCGTTCTTGCTAAGATGCTTCAGTGAGGCTGATTGTTGTTTGGGGGCTGTGGCAGGTGCATGTTGTACTGAAGCTCTGGAAGAGTGGATTCAGTCTGGACAGCGGAGAGCTGAGGAGCTACCAGGACCCATCCAATGCCCAGTTTCTTGATGATATCCGCAGAGGGTATGTAGCGAGAGGGGAGAGGAAGAATAGCTGTTTTCTGAAACACAAGCGTTTGTGGAATTCAGGATGCCGAATCAATGGCACATTTCACCTCAGCTTTCTTGTAAGAGCTGGATTCTTAATATGGGAAACTATGGGAGGGCAGACTTGGAACATTTACTTCAAATAAACGGGAAAGTGGCCTTGGTTTGTACGGGGCCTTGGGAGTTTGAAGGGAACAAACAGATTTTCATATTTGGGCTGAGAATTTCTGACGCATCGTGTCACTCTGGGTGAGGGCCAGGGAAAAGTAACCTTTAATTTGTGTGTGTGCTAGTGGGGAGGTGTGCATCTGCCCTCTTAATTAAGCAAGAGCTCACTGCGATTCCTGAAATTCCAGAGGTCTGTGGCTGGCACTTTTTCTCCACACTTTCCTGACTTGCTTCTTCAGGCAGCTGCCTTAGGACACTCTCTTTGCAGGGAAGTCCCAGCAGAGCTGCGCAGGTTAGCACGGGGCGGACAAGTGAACCTGGATATGGAGGATCATCGTGATGAGGAGTATGTGAAACCTAAAAGTGTCTTCAAAGCTTTTACTGGAGAAGGACAGAAGCTGGGCAGGTGAGAAAACAGCAGCGCTGGTTTGCTGTGTGTGTGATGCGAGACACTCGCTCGAGAGTTTTGCTAGGTTAAACCTCTTGATTCATCTTTCTGAAGAAAAGGCAGTCGGTGCCTATGGTATGTGAGGTGTTCCTCTGAGAGAGGAGATGAGGCTTGCTGGCGTGTTCTGTGAGGTGGCTCAGTCTTTCCGTGGTGGGAGGCAGATCCCTAGTTTGGAACTAGCATGATATGTCACGTAGAAGCACTGTTCCCAAGTTACACGGTCCCTGTTCCTGTGGGCCTGTGAAGACCCACGATGTGGTGCTATGAAGGGAAGAGGTAGAGGTGAGGTTCTAGACCAGTTTCTGATGCCTACA